CCCGCGTATCCCACAAAATTGATTGGTTCTCTGGGAAGTAAGTATGGACTTGTGTTTCTCCGACGACCTGCCAGTTTGGGAGTTATTTGCCCTATATCTGGAGGGCTTCCCGAGCTCTTCCCGAAGACGCCATCTGATTCAAAAGGTTCCTGCATAGTGATATCTGGGTTTCCGTGTGTCAGGGTAACCACGGTGCCAGAAACCCTTTCCTGTAAAAGACAGCCCGAAGAGCCGAAACAAAGAGGGTTTCGGATTTGGGTGCTTGGGGGGTGGGTTTAGGGTTTAGGGTTAGGGCGGTTAGGGTTTGGGATGTAGGCTTTAGGGCTTAGGGTTTAGGTGAAAACAAGTTGATCTTTCTGAGACCAAAAGCCCGCAACCCTTGTTTTGAATCACTTGGCTTTTGTGTCGAACTCCAGGTTTTGAGCCACGCACACATGCAGGCCGACCTACATTGTGGGTCTATTTTGCCGCCCTCAATCGTAAGGTCCTGTCTTAGTAGTAGAGCAATTAGCCTTCAACCTTTTGGGTATGTTAGTCCCGTTCGAATTCCAAAGGTTAGCCTTCACTAGGGCCTTCACTTCCCCTAGGATACTGGACAGCTAAGATCATTGGACCCTAAACCCTAAACCCTAAACCCTAAACCCCGAACCCCAAACCCCAAACCCCAAACCCTAAACCCTCATAAGGTCCCTCGTTTGCCATAGCGTAGAGACCTCGACCGAGATGTGGCGTGGTGTTGTTTTCGGGTTTAGGGTCTGACGCCCTGAGGTTTGGTGTTTGGGTGTGGGGGGGGGGAGGTTGGCTTAGACTTCCGAAACCCTAAACCCTAACCCCTATCCCCCAAACCCTAAGCCCTGAGCCCTGAGCCCTGAGCCCTGAGCCCTGAGCCCTAAAGCCCCAAGCCCTGATGGGGTGTGGGGGTCAGTCTTCACCTCCACACCTTAAACTGTCTCAGGTTCCTCTGGCCACCTACTCCTCGCCGGCCAGGGCCTTGGGGTTTAGGGTTTAGGGTTTCGGGTTTCGGGTTTAGTGTTTAGGGTTTATATATGGTTTCGGGTTTAGGGCTTTACATTCTCGGGGCTGTTGCTTTACGCCGCCCTCATCGTAGAAGGGTACTGGGCCTTTGCTAAACTTCCAACCCTGAGGCCGCCCCCCTACAGACCCTATATCCCCCTTGGGAGTTTTTTGTTTTTGTTTTATATAAAACCCAAGAGCATATTCAACATATTATTTTTATTAGGGTTCTAAGGGGAGTATAGGACCTCTATGGCGCAAGTCGACCTGCCCGCCTCACGACGGGCTCTTCTCGGGTTCCTTTTTTTTCTTCTCCCCCCTGGATGGCCCTGGCCTCTCCCAAACAATAAATGTATATGTATATATAATATATTATGATATAATATAATATAATATAATGTAATGTAATGTAATGTAATGTAATATAATGTAGTATAATATAATATAATCTAATCTAATATAATAATATAGATATATAAAGAAATATCTGGGAGCTGGACTTGTTGGGATTTCCCGGGTCCCCCTGCCTGCGACCCTCTTGATATCCCTGGGACCCTGGCACCTGGACCTCCTTGAGCCGGCCTGGGATAGCTTGTGATAGATGGCCCTCTTCAGTCGGGCTAGAGCGGCTCGAGGCAGCTGTCTCGACTGCATCCTAGCCTTCACCGCATCTGCGCCATACTACAGCAAGCCCTACATCCTAAACCCTAAACCCTCAACCCCAAACCCCAAACCCCAAACCCTAAACCCTAAACCCTAAACCCTAAACCCTAAACCCTAAACCCTAAACCCTAAACCCTAAACATGCCGCTTTGAAGCCCCGAGAGCACAGGTGCAGAACGGCGTCATCTGGAAGGGGGCGCTGCCTTCCCTGACCGTCCTGTCAAGGTTGCACGGGGCGCTGGGAACCCCAAAGCCATGAACCAGGGCTTAGGGCTCAGGGTGTTTTTAGGGTTTTAGGGTTTTAGGGTTTAGGGTTTCGGGTTTAGGGTGCAGGGCTTAGGGTTTACGGTTATGTATGTAGGACCTTCATGCTCTACTTGGCGAGGTGTTGGTGTCTATAGAATGTGCAACATGTGACCGTTTGAATCCCCCGGAATGTCTAAACTAGTACGTATATTATATACATATATATATATATATTTATATTCTTATTTATGCTTATATTTATACTTTTTTAATGTTTATATTTATATGTATATGTATATATGTATAAGCTGATAACAAGCTTGAAATCAAACGTTTCTGGCATCTAGAAATCTCAGGCGTCCCCAGCTCTTCTCAAATGGTCACAATGTTAACCTGTTTTGCACGCCTCCAAAACCTCTGAAATGTCTAGAACAGCTGCAATAAAACGTCAAGTCGGGCAATCCTATTCAGACATCTTAGAGATTGCAGAGGATTGTCTCCATTGATTTCAAGCCCTCAGCTGCAGTGCCGGACGCCCTGTTAAGAATCACATGTACAAATCATCTATATATATATATACACAACATATGTATATGCGTACATATATATATATATGTACAGATATGTGTGTATGAGCGTGTGTGCGTGTATGTGTGCTAGAGCGTGTATCTGTCTGGGTGTTTGTGCGTGCGTGCAAATGCAATCACCCCGGTGCACCTGTATCTTTGCAGCTAACCTCGCAACGCATTCACCTGCAGTCCTTGGCTGCGAAGAAGAACCAACGTATACAGTGAAATGATAGCCTTTACCCAGGAAGTGACTGTAAGGGGTTTGCAAGCGTTTCTGGCTCTATGTCTTGCAGCCGATTTGCTCCCAGGACACGTTTTCAAATCTAACGTGTACATCCAGGGAAACCTTCTATACCCCTTACATACCCTGCTTGGAGGTTCATGGTACTTATTAACCAGTTATAACTTTACTTCTAACCAGCTCATAAGCCCCTTAAGTGCCTAATATGGTACAGTTATAAGCGCAGCTCTAATTGGTTGAGAAGTACTATGAACCTCCAAGTATGAAACCCAGGGCTCATACTACGGAACCCTATAAACAAGGTAAGGGACCATATTCAGGGACCAGGTAACTACCTTGAGATGAAGGTATGTTGTTAAGGGGGGTGAGGGCTTAGAGTGCAGGGCGAAGGTATTGTTGAGAGTCTAGGGTTGTCTTTGGGGTCCTTCGGTTTTTTTGCAGAGCCTTGGGGTTTTAGGGATCGGGTTTCAGTTTGAGCGGGTTTAAGGTTTCATGTGTCTGTGGTCTTGGCGGTGTGTAGATTTTGTTGTGCTGTTTGGGTGGGGGGGGAGCAGTGGGGGAAAGTACCGACACGGGCACGCTGAGACGCATGCAGGGGCTGGGGACCAGAACGCATGTCACGACCGCAACCGCCCTCAGACCCTAAACTCTAAAACCCTAAGACAAAAGCCTTTGGCGTGAAAAGCTATCTGCTAAAACCCTAAACTTAAACCCCTGTCGAAAAACCTGGCCTATGCCGCAGGCTCACAGCAAGGCTCAGTTTTCCGAGCCTTGTTCATCCGCTGCGGCTACTTGTCGAGGACCTTGGCTGTGGTTAGGTTTGTCCTGGTTCTTGGCGGCAAATCGCTAACCCCTAACCCCTAACCCCTAACCCCTAACCCCTAACCCCTAACCCCTAACCCCTAACCCCTGAACCCTAAACCCTAAACCCTAAACCCTAAACCCTAAACCCTAAACCCTAAACCCCAAGGTTCACAGGCCTCAGGGTTGTTTTGAATAATGGTTTGCAAAGGGGGTTTCGGGTCTTGGGGCCTTTGAAGCTTGCAGGGATGTCAGAGGTAGGGTGTTCGCGACGATTAGAGTTGGGTTTATGGTTTAGGGTTTAGGGTTTGGGGTTTGGGGTTTGGGGTTTGGGGTTTGGGGTTGGGGGTTGGGGGTTGGGGGTTGGGGGTTGGGGTTTGGGGGTTGGGGGTTGGGGGTTGGGGTTTGGGGCTTTGGGGCTTTGGGCTTTGGGCTTTGGGCTTTGGGCTTTGGGGTTTTGGGGCTTTGGGGCTTTGGGGTTTTGGGTTAGCATCCCCAAGTCCAGAACTGTAGCCCAAAAGACATGAGCGGGGGGGCACATGTACGGCCGTCCTCTCGGTCTTCATGATGCTTGAACAGGGTACCCCCGACAGTATACTTGAATCTAAAACAAGCCAAAAAAGGGGCTTTTGGGGACTTTGGGGTTGTACTGACCCCAGGATGGAGTGTTCAGGAAGGTTGAGAGTGCAATTGTGGGTTTACTGAGAGGGCGGAGGTTTCGTTGGGGGCGCTTGAGCGCTTTACTAGGTAGGCACCCCTAAACCCTCAACCCTCAGCCCTCAACCCTCAACCCTCAACCCTCAACCCTCAACCCTCAACCCTCAACCCTCAACCCTCAACCCTCAACCCTCAACCCTCAACCCTGTGGTAATGCTCTTCAGGAAGATTTTTCCAAGGGCTTCAAGGGCCCACACGGTTAAGTCTGCGGTAGTGGGCGGTTTGATTCTGGGATTTGGAGTACCCTAAACCCTAAGCCCTATAACCCTAAACCCTAAACCCCAAACCCTAAACCCTAAATCCTGCGTGGTTTTTTCGGGTCGTGGTGCAGTGCCTTTCCATTGGCTCGGTCCAGGTCTGTGCCGGGCATGGTTGCTTGGAGGTTCAGGGTACTTAGAACCCCAATCTAGTAGGCCCCCGGGGACATTTTATATTTTCCCTTGATGGGTTTAAGAGGATCATATTCAGAAATATTTTTCAGAGGGTGTTAAGGGTCATCCTAGCAATCATGACTGTACTTATAAGCCCCCCTAAGCCCCCTAAGTCCTTAAGTGGACTTAGGGTTGGGGTTCTACGTACCCATAAACCTCTGGGTTGCAAGAGGTCGGTAGTTGGCAGTCTAGACCTGGCAACAAACATGGGCAAGATCTCGATACCAGCACACTGCAACTGCAGATCAGCAAGTGAAGTACCGACAACGTCGCAGCGGCTAGTCTAGCCGAAATTCGATTCCGAATTCCCTGCTTCTCATGAGCTTGGCGGCAAACATGCTGCGTGTTTTCCAGGTCTCAGGGCAAGAGCTTGTCACGATGCGAACGGAGGAGCTAGATGACGTGCTGGCATTGAAGCGACATCTGCGCACTGTGTATCTTAGGTGCTGAGCAGGTAACTGCACGAACTTTTTGGATCTTCTTCTTGGATCCTATAAGCCATTTTTCCATAGAGGCTGAGCCTGTAAGTTATGTTGGCTTAAACAAAGCCCGAATGGGCTTCGTTACAACAGATGTGTTTTGCACCGGGCTCAGGGCCAGTATAGGTATGGCTTCCCGGTCAGCATTCAACAGCTCTTACATCATGGCAGCCACCTCATTGACTCTTCTGACGCTCGGAAAGCCTAAGCCTCAAAGGGTTTAGGTTTTAGGAGTTCAGGAGGCAGGGTGTATGTTAAGAGTTTCTAGTTTTTTGTGCAGCTTAAACCCTAAACCTATTGCTAGGTTACGGGCGAACCTAGGACTTGACTCAACTGGAGATGCCCATGGACGTGCAAGTCGTGCTGTCGGGCCTCTCAAGTGTGGAGCAGAAGCGTGAGGCTTCCACCGAGTTGCTGGAGTATGCCGCCACGCAAGGCCATCTGCAAGTTGCCCGCTTTCTGCTCGAAGCAGGCGCCGACAAAGATGTGCGAGACGTGCGAGATGTGCACGACGGGCATTATGGCGATACACCCCTAATCTCCGCATCTGTCACTTGGTAGCCCAGTGGTACCCTTTGCCCTCTTTTTGGGGTTCTGGTTTCCCTTGTAAAATAACCAACCCCAAAAAGGGTGCCCTTATTATAAGATGGTTATTGGGCTACCCAGGTCAATGGCCACGCTGAGGTTGTGGGCTTTCTGCTGGAGGCTGGCGCGGCCAAGAATGTGCAGGGATTTGGTGGCGCTACAGCCCTGTCGGCCGCATCTCGTAAAGGTCACGTCACTAGGTAGGCCCTTGGGAAGTTTCATGATCTTCCCTTATTGGGTTTAAGAGGATCATGTTCAGGAGTGGAACCCTAAACCCTAAACCCTAAACCCTAAACCCTAAACCCTAAACCCTAAACCCTTTATTTCAGAGGCCATCCGAGGTCAGAGTCGCAGGGCTGCTGCTGGAGTCGGGGGCCGACCCCAACATTCAGGACCAGGTCGGCTCCACGGCCCTTCATCATGCATCCGATGCCGGCCACGCTGAGATTCTAGGGCCCTTTTGTTGCCATTTTTTGTTTACTTATTTTTTTTGTCCCTTGGTTGGGTTTAAGAGGATTCATGGTTTTGTAAAATTTTCCCTTGGTTGTGTTTTAAGAGGATCCATATTCGGGAGTATTTGTTTCGGAGGGTTTCGATGTGGGCCATCCTAGGATTGTGAGGTTGCTGGTTGATGCTGATGCCGACAAGGATGCGCACGACAAGAACGCGGGCAACGCCGCCCTCATCTTCACCTCCTCGTACAGCGGCGCGACGCCCCTTTTTGCCGCGTGCCGCAGGGGCCATGTGGAGATTGCGCGCTTGCTCATGGAAGCGGGCGCGGCCATGGATGTGCCTTAATTATATTACTGTTAGCTAGTAGGGAAGAGGGAATGAGGTACCCTTTATCCCCTCTCTATGTAGATCTACATACTCCTTAAGGGAGTACATATTCAACAGTAAGGTGCAAGGACCTGGTGGAGCTACAGCTCTGACCATCTCATCTCGTAAAGGGTACCTTGCGATCGCACGTCTTCTGGTGGAGTTTGGTGCTGAGAAGAACGTTCAGGACCAGGCCGGGGCGACGGCTCTTCATTGCGCCTCTGACGGTGGCCGCACTGAGGTCGCGCGCTTGCTAACCGACGCTGGCGCTGACAAGGAGGTGCAGGACGAGCTTGGCTACACACCCTTGCTATCTGCATCCTACAATGGCCATGTCGAGATCGCGCACTTGCTGCTGGAAGCGGGTGCAGCCAAGAATGTGCAATCCGTCCGCGGCTCTACAGCCCTCTCCGTGGCATCTCGTAAAGGCCACGTGGCGATTGCACGGCTGCTGCTGGAGTCGGGTGCCGACGCGAACGTTCAGGACCAGGCCGGCTTCACAGCTCTTCATCACGCATCTGAGGCTTGGTAGCCCAGTGGCACCCTTTACCCTTTTATTTTTGGGGTTCTTGGTTCCCTTATAAAATAGCCAACCTCAAAAAGGGTGTCCTTGTTATAAGATGGTTACTGGGCTACCTTAAGGAGGGAGGCCACCTTGAGACGGTCGGGTTGCTGCTTGATGCTGGTGCTGACAGGGACGTCCAGGACAAGAAGGCCGGCTTCACCGCCTTAATGGCCGCCTCTTGCAGAGGCCACGCTGCTCGGTAGGCCCCTATAGGACATTTTCATATTTTCCTCTTATTGGGTTTAAGAGGATCACATTCAGGCGTACATATTTCAGAGGGTTTTTTCTTTGGGGCCATCCTAGGTTGAGATTGTGCGCTTGCTGGTAGAAGCCGGCGCTGGCAGGGATGTGCAAGGACACTCCGGTGATACAGCCCTGAGTGTCGCATCTCGCCATCTGCGCAGCGGCCACGCGGAGATTGTGCGCTTGCTGGAAGGGCCGTGCTGATGTTGGGGGGAGTGGTGTTGAATTCGGCTCTCCCAAGCTTCCTCAAGAGCAAAACCCGAAAAGGGTCCCAGTCTAGAACGCCAATCAAGGACTACCTGCCATACGCAGGCAGCGTGCTCAGTGCAGTCCCTAGAGCACGAAAGCTGTGCTGAAACGAGGCATCATCTAAACCCCAAGGCACGTAACTCAAACCTTCCTAGCTACCCCCTCGCGCTAAAACCCTAAAACCCTAAGACCCTTAAACCCTAAAGCCCTAAATCCCTAAAACCCTAAACCCCTAAAACCCTAAAACCCGAAAACCCGAAAACCCTAAAACCCCAAAACCCTAAAACCCTAAAACCCTAGAATCCTAAAATCCTAAAACCCTAAAACCCTAAAACCCTCAAGCCCTAAAACCCTAAAACCCTAAAAACCGAAAACCCTAAAACCCTAAAACCCTAATTCCCTAAAACCTCAAAATCCTAAAACCCTAAAACCCTAGAACCCTAAAACCCTAAACAGGCCCTCCAAAAGCCCCCAAAAGCCGCAGAAAGTGTGGTTTAGGGTTTAGGGTTTAGGGTATAGGGTTTAGGGTTTAGGGTTTAGGGTATAGGGTTTAGGGTTTAGGGTGGCCAAAGGAGCTGGCTCCCTGGCACAAGATCGGTGAGGAGCCGAAGTGTGCGAGGTGGGGGCTCACTTTTCCTAGGTACTAGGGTTTAGGGTTTAGGGTTTAGGGTTTAGGGTTTAGGGTTTAGGGTTTTGGGGCCGCTACACCCTAAACCTAGAAGAAGCCCTTCTGTGACCTGCTTGGCTGCATGTACGTCCGTTCTTGAGCGGATCATTGTCACAATTACTACTTGCATATGAGCCCACCAACAAATAAAAGATGATAATCCCCATCTTGCCCTTATAAGGAAGACTTTGTGTGTATTGCTTGGGGGGTTCTAATCAAATGGCAGACAATGGGGTTCCAGTCAGGTGGTGTTTCAAAGGTTTAGGACTTCGCGCTATCCACAGCCAGACCTCGACCACAGGTCAAGCTTGCCTCACTACACACTCCTCAACTGGATGGCTCCTAGGCAACCCTAAACCCGAAACCCGAAACCCTAAACCCTAAACCCTAAACCCTAAACCTGTAGCCAAACTGGAACGTCTACCCTCTAAAGCCCCAAACTTTGAACCCTAAATTACTACCCCAAATTGTGGTCGACCGGCCACTGTCGGCACAGACGCTCTCTACCCTCAATCGGAGGCGCTGCTTCAGCGGCACAGCGGTCGCCAATGGTCAGGCCGACTGAAGCATGATGTTGTGTCAGTTCAACATGTGTTCAGTCCGCCTCGACCCTAAACCCTGAACCGTGGACCATTGGTCAGCCTTCTAGACCCTAAACCCTGAACCGTGGAGCATTGGGTTAGGCGTGGCCATTGTGAATTGAAGTCCCTTAAGGGTCCCAACTGTTTAGGCTAGCCGCAAGAACTAAAATCGCGAAAGTGTACCTTAAGATCCTAAAGATTTTTAGGGTGCTCCCGCCCCCCTCCAGGAAAGAAAACACTCGAGAACAATGGTTTTCCAACGCGGAAAACGCCCGAGCTTGCAAGAAACGAATTCCGAGCTGGCGCAATGACAGCGTGCGCAGGCGAAGACAACAAAGCCGTGAACCGAAACCTTTAGCCTGAATTATAACCTCATAACCTATAGCACACACTTCCGGATGCACAGGCACGGCAGGCAGTGCGGCGCGCGAGAGAGAGTCCTGGGTGATCACGTGCATCAAAGAGGGCTGAAGGTTACGCCCTCAGCCCTGAGCCGCCTTCCATGCAGAGTTTGCAAACCGCGAAGGCGCGTTGGCAAGCATGCCGAGCTAGATGAGCCGGCAACAGGCATTGCCAGCCAGACTGGCGTTGGCGGAAATCTTACAGGAAGATCAGACCCTCTCTCATTCGCGCACAAAACTTGAAGAGGGGAAAAACATGACGTACGTGCGGCCTTGGGGCTCAAGTCACGCAGCTCAGGTATCGTGGGCTTTTCTCGGGAGTCATAGGGCCATAGGGTAGCCATCAGTGGTAGCCATCCTTGTCCAGGCTGCGAAGCCCGAACCCCCCAGACACATATACATTCCCTCACATTCATGTTCAACTGGTGACACCGATGCTGTCGGGAAATACACACACTGATGGGGAACGAAGAGACCACCAAGACAACACCTGGCGCTGTAGAAGAAGCCAGGAAACCATGGTCCAAGTGAAAGGAGTACCATATGTCTGAAGCATCGCTGATACTCTGGACAAGCATGTGCTTGTCCAACAAATCATTGTTCCCAGCTTGAGATGGTGTACTTGGAGGTTCATGGTACTTCTTAACCAATTGTAACTGTACTTATGACTGTGCTTGTAAGCCCCTTAAGTGCCCTAACGTGGTTATTAGTACAGTTATCACAACAGTTACAATTGGTTCATAAGTACCATGAACCTCCAAGTAGAAGCCGAAGAACACGCGGTGTCCTCACCAGCTGCGCCAGCTCCAGCGCCAGCAGGATCTGTACCACGCCAGGAGTTTGAGAGCTGTATCCACTGGTTTGTGGTACTTATTAACCAATTGTGGCTGTACTTCTCACCCCTTAAGGGCACTTGAGGGGCTTATAAGTACAGTTCTAAGTGCAGTTATAGTTGGTTGATAAGTGCCATGAGCCTCCAAGCAGAAGCAGCATCACCGCGGAGGAGCTGGGCCGATGGCGATTGTCTTGTTGCGCGCGGGGCATTTTTTCCCCAAACCCTAAACCCTAAACCCTAAACCCTAAACCACCCTAAACCACCCTAAACCTCCCTAAACCTCCCTAAACCTCCCTCAACCTCCCTAAACCTCCCTAAACCTGCCTAAACCTCCCTAAACCTCCCCAAAACCCTAAACCCTAAACCCCAAACCCTAAATCCTAAACCCTAAACCTCCATCCACAGCAACCATGAGCGCATGTACGGTCTCTCAGGTTCAGTAGGTACCAGTCCCACCACTGGGAGGTACCTGAGCCGAGACTATCTTACAACCTGTAATACCTGCAGAGACCCTGTTGGAGGCCTAGTACCAGAATGCCCCCATCAAAAAAACCCTAGAAGCCCAAAACCCTGAGCCCTCGCAACCCCTTCGCCTTTAGATTCCCTACTATTTGTGTAAGAACCCCAAAAGAATATACACTAATCGTCCCTATACTACCCTTATAATCCCTATACTACCCTTATAAGGAAGAAAATGTTGTGTTTTTTTTTTAATTTTTGGTGTGGCTCTTGAGCAACTACTCATTCCTGAAGCCCTGGGCTCACAAGGTGCTGCAGAGGCTGCTGCCGCCAGCTGTGCCGTTCGCTGTGTGGATCTTGACAGATGAGCCCCGCTTGCACGTTGCATGTTAGGGTTTTGGGTTTAGGGTTTAGGGTTTTGGGTTTTGGGTTTAGATTTTCGGGTTTAGGGTTTAGGGTTTAGGGTTTAGGGTTTAGGGTTTAGGGTTTAGGGTTTAGGGTTTAGGGTTTGCATGTTCGGAGCTTGTGTAGATTTGAAAGCTCTCTTAGAATTACGGAGGGCTTTCGTGTTTAGAAAGATTCAATTATGCGACGGGGGTTAGGAAAGGGCGCATTTTTGACGGATGGGCATTGTGTTTTCGAAGTTGTCCTGGGACTAAGTTGTAATTTATGGTATAAAAGGCCCCCTCCCCCCCTCCCCGCCCCTCCCCCCCTCCCCGCCCCTCCCCCCCTCCCCGCCCCTCCCCCCCTCCGTCCCTCCCCCCCCAGTATCTTATTTCCTGTTGACGCTCATTCCATTCCTACACAAAGCATCCCTTAACCCTAAACCCTAAACCCTAGGCCCCAAACTTAGGGGGTTTTAGAGCCTAGAGGTTTAGGGGTGCCCAGGACCACGATGCCAGCGGCATTGCTGGTGGGCACTGCGCCAACTACGACTTCGAGCTTGAGCTAGGCTGCTGTCTCCCTGCAGGTTTGGGGTTTGGGGTTTAGGGTTTAGGGTGCGGTGTAGGGTGCAGGGTCTAGGGTGTAGGGTTCAGGGCTTAAGTAGGGCCGAGGGCTTCAGGGGGTGGTTGAGTGCCGCTACTCATGCGCTCCAGGTCGCCTTCCGAGGATTCCAGGTTGCAAGGTTCAGGCTTTCCACCCAAACGGGTCCGCATGGCAAAAAGGGTTCAGGGCTCAGGGTTGGGGGGTCCATCCTCAGGGTGCAGGAGTACCCTAAACCCCAAACCCTAAACCCCAAACCCTAAACCCCAAACCCTCAATCCCAAACCCTAAAGCCTAAAGCCCAAAGCCCAAACCCTAAGCCCTCAAGCCTAAACCCTAAACCCTAAACCCGAAACCCTAAATTTTACCGAATCAAAGACCCTTGTCAGGTCCGATAGAGCCTTCTCGGCTGACCTCCGAGCCATCTCGGCGGAATTGAGGGTTTAGGGTTTAGGGTTTAGGGTTTAGGGTTTAGGGTTTAGGGTTTAGGGTTCAGGGGTTTGGCTCTAGGCTGTAGGGCTTAGACTTTACTGTTCAGAGTTAGGGCTAAGGCTCTAGCGCAGAGGGTTGAGAGCTTAGAGTTTCGGATTTCAGGTCTGGGTGGGGGAAGTCGGGTCTGGGGGCGAGGCTGGTTGGTGGCTCAATCGGCTTTGGGGTTGGGGTTGAAGGTTCAGAGTCGAGGGCTCAAGCGGTTTCGACCTATTATGTTGGTCTGCATGTACTCTTTTGTGTCAGTTTCAATGCTTTCTTGTTCTACTGAATGCTTTGGTGCTGGTGCTGGTGCTGGTGCTGGTAACGTCGTCCCCTTCTGCTAGAGTCTGCTAGAGACCTTGAAAGGTGAACCCGCAAAGCATCCTGACACTCTGAGCCCCTTGAACTCGCAACCCCTTCACAAAAAACCTTAACTTGGCCTGAGCCCTAAGCCTTAAGCCCCAGCAAGCCTTAAGGCCCCAAAAAAACCCTAAAGCCCCACCCCCAAAAAATAAGAATAAAATAAAACCACAACATTGCTATCAACTTGGCACCACTTTGAGTCAGTTGTAATGGCTTAGAAAACAGAGGTTATGAATCCATAGGTTAGCATTGGTATTCACGCTTGTTTCTTTTAAAGCATCTCTTGTTGAATTTCGTAATCGTCTTCGCAGATTCTCGGCAAGTGCTCCGTAACGCCCGAAACCTTAAGACCCCAAACTCGAAACTCCCGCAACCCCGAAATCCTAAACCCCTTCAACCACCAGACACTGAACTCCTCAGCCTTAAGCCAAACCCTAAACCCTAAACCCGAAACCCCAAACCCGAAGCCCCTTAAACCCCGAGACCCTAAGCTCCTTAAAGCCCCACCTTGGCGTTCCTCGTCGAAGGTTTCTGGGCCCACCAGCCTGGCTCTGCGAGGTCCTGGCTTAGGGTTTAGGGTTTAGGGTTTAGGGTTTAGGGTTTAGGGTTTAGGGTTTAGGGTTTAGAGTTTAGGGTTTAGGGTTTAGGGTTTAGGGTTTAGGGTTTAGGGTTTAGGGTTTAGGACTATAAGCCCGAAACCCACCCTTAACCCTAAACCGAAGCCCCACAGCCTAAACGCCAAGCTCTGACCCCTCCCTGCCCCCCCCCCCCCCCCCCGCCCACATGCTCAGGGTTCAGGGCAGCTTGGGAAAGTGCATGTTTCTCTGTCCTGGACCCTAGAAGGAGGAGTATTTCGGAGAGCTCCCCCCCCCCCTCAAATAGACCACTAAATAAACGATACAATCTCGCAGCAGCGGAAAGATCGACCCTGTAAAACCTAAACCCCAGACCCTAAACCCTATAGAAACCCTAAACCCTAAACCCTTTGGTGCCTAGACCTAAGCTCCCCAGAAGCTGGCCTGAAGCTACCCAAAGCCCCACAGCCGCAAGACTCACCTTGGCACCTTGGTGGTTCGACCTTGCTTGAGCTGGACGTAGTTGGGGTTTAGGGTTTGGATCTAGGGTTTAGGATTTAGGGTTTAGGGTTTAGGATTTAGGTTTCAGAGCAATCTAATTCAACGAAAGAGGGCCTCAACAAGACCACTTTGAACAAGGGATGAGCTTTTCTGTCAAGCCCGTACCGCGAAGCCCCAAAGCTTAGGAGATCGTTGCTTGGGAAGTCATCGGATCCCTAAACCCTAAACCCTAAACCCTAAACCCTGACCCTGCGCCCTAAACCCTAAACACTAAATCCTAAACCCTCAACCCTCAACCCTATACCCTACCCTATACCCTATATACCCTATACCCTAAACCCTAAACCTAACTAACCCTAAGCCCTACCCCTACCCCCCCCACCCCGCCCGGGCACACACCCGCAACAAAATCCCCAGAAAATGAGGGAGGGATCAGGGAGGGCATGAGGGGTAAGACCTACGGCCTCATTTCCGGGGGTCGGTCAGGGGTGCCTGCTGAGTATCCTATGCAGAACAAAAACGCCCTGGGTTTTGGGTCTAGGGTTTAGGGCCCCTAAACCCGAAACCCTAAACCCTAAACCCTAAACCTATTAAAACCGCTTGGAGGCTTGGGGTTTAGGGACGCTTCTTCATGTTGCAGGGTGGTGCCTGGCCAGCCCGGCTTGCCCTCGCACGCAAGAACGACCCCCCCCCCCCCATTGAACCCTTAATCCCTTAGGGTTTAGGGTTTGCCCTTCCGGAAATTGAGTCCCAAACCAAGCCCCCACTCTCTAGGCCCCAAACACTGAAGCCTCTGAAACCGACACCCTCAAACCTCAAACTCATAATCCTACTTATACCCACCCGAAGCCCTAGACCCTAAAAGCCCTAAGCCCCAAACCCTCAAGCCTCCTGAACCCTCCCCTACACCCGAAACCCTAACCCCCTGACCCCTAACCCCTAACCCCTAAACCCTAAACCCCCAAACCTCAAACCCCAAACCCCAAGCCCTCACCTCAGGAGCAGCTCCCGTACGGAGCCGCCGGTACTGCCGACTCGGGGCGTCCGCCCCATGGATGAAGACTCAGCGGATGAAGGGTTTGCGGCTTAGGGTTTAAGGGTTTTAGGGTTTAAGGGTTTAGAGGTTTAGGGCTTATGGTTTAGGGCTTATGGTTTAAGGCTTTAGGGCGTATGGTTTAGGGTTTTCGGGTTTAGGGCTGGTAGGGTTTAGGGCTTTAGGGTTTGAGGGTTTTAGGGTCTTAGGGTCTAGGGTTTTGAGCCTAGGGCTTAGTTCAGGGGTGATGGGTTCTAGGCTCAGGGTTTTTGGAGTCGTGTGCAACTTCCCTGAACCCATATACCCCAAACTGTCAAACCTGCTTCAGGAATCCAAGAACCAGCAGCAAGGGTAGTCTGTGTCTTCTATCCCGAGAAGCTGACCTGCGACTACAATGCCATCCCATACTGAGCTCTTACCCTGAGCCTGAACCGTAAGCCATGGTACAAGGAGCCCTTGGATTGACTCTAGGGTCGCTTTCTGGTGCGTATGTAGGGTTTAGGGTTTAGGGTTTAGGGTTTAGGGTTTAGGGTTCAGGGTTCAGGGTTTAGGGTTTAGGGTTTAGGGTTTAGGGTTTAGGGTTTAGGGTTTAGGGTTTAGGGTTTAGGGTTTAGGGTTTAGGGTTTAGGGTTTAGGGTTTAGGGTTCAGGGTTCAGGGTTTAGGGTTTAGGGTTTAGGGCTTCCGGTTGAAGTGGCGGTGCCACATCGGCATCCCCGAGGTCGGTGCTGCGGCAGCACAGCTTCGCCTTGCGGGATGCGCCTGGGCTCGGGGTTTGGGAGCAGCCCAAAAACCCAAGCCCTGAACCCTATGCCCTCCTAGCCCTAAACCCTAAACCCTAAACCCTAAATCCTAAACCCTAAACCCTAAACCCTAAACCCTAAACCCTAAACCCTAAACCCTAAACCCTAAACCCTAAACCCTAAACCCTCTAAGCCTAAACCCTTAACCCTTTACCCTCTAAACCCCAAACAATTTGGGGCTCAGGAGGCTTTAGGGATGGGGGCGTCAGGCCTTTGCCCTCAGAACGAGACCTCAACTCCACCAGATTTTGGGGATTTAGAGCTTCGGGCTTTATGGGTTTATGGGATTTGGGGATCTAAGGATTTTGTGGATGTAGGGCTTCGGGGTTTAGGATTTAGGGGTTTTGGGGATTTGCGGATCTTGCGGTTTCGGGTTTAGGCTTTCAGGCGTTGTTGTTTGTTCCAAGTTTTCGCGTTTACGGGCTTAGGGATTTGTCCGGGTCCGTTCAGACGTGCTCAGTTTGGGACCGTTCTCCTTGACTGCTGGTGGAGTGCAGGGCCTAGATTTGCAGGGTTTTGGGGTGCTGTGGAGAGGGCTTCAGGGGTGCTGGGGGATGCTGAAGGGTTGATGTCTAACCTTTGTTAGGCCCTAGAAGCTCGATACCCTTAAGACCCATAGTTCCTCAAAAGCCCTTAAGCAATAAGGCTCCCCGGCACCTACCCATGAATTCTGGAACAAACCTTCATTCATAGTCAGGACCTATGTAGTTCAATGCATATTCCTACAGAACCCTCAACCCTGAGACCTTAGCCCAGCACCCCTAAACACCGTCAAGACCCTGAACGTCTGTCAAAGGTAAAATCATGTAAAATCCTAAAGCCCTAGACACCCTCAAAAACCCCAGACACCCTGAAAGCATAACAGGCCCTTCGTTAAAAGACCAAAGCCGTACACGCTTTCAACTTCCGTACATAAACCCTCAAAACACCCTAAACAGCCATCAGCACACCCTAATCACCCCAAAGCCACGTCAAAAGCGTGCCGAAAACCTCTCAACACCCAAAGCCAGAAACCTTCGCCACGTGAGGCCTAAGACCCCGAAACCCCTGAATCCCAAGCCCCAACCTGGCGAAAACCTAACCCTAAACCCTAAGCCCTAAGCCCTAAGCCCTAAGCCCTAAGCCCTAAACCCTATACCCCAAACCCTATAAACCCTAAACCCTAAACCCCCTACCCCCTGAACACCTGAATCCTGAGCCCCAAAGGCCCCTTAATGAGGTCTTCGACCTCACCCGGCCGAGCCAAAGTGGCATCTCGGGGGTTCACAGCCTGGAAATTCAGGCGCTTCAGTCTCAACCCTGTAGCCCCAAAGCCTAAACCCTAAACCCTAAACCCTAGACCCTAAACCCTAAACCCGAAACCCGAAACCCGAAACCCGAAACCCGAAACCATAAACCCTAAACCCTAAACCCTAAGCCCCAAACCCCAAACCCTAAACCCAAACCCTTAAGCCTGCGTTTGGGCGAGGACTCCAGGGTTCCGCGCTTCGGGCGTGGGGGAAGTTTGGGATCTCGCAAGCGGTCTGGGGGGTATCGAGGGCCAGGGCGTAGGGTTTCGGATTTCAGGTCCAGGGCCTAGCGGTCGGGGTTTTGGGTTTAGGGTTTGGAGTTCGGGGTTTGGGGTTTTGGGTGTTCACTCGTTCCTCAACCCACAAAATGTCCCTAAACCCCGAAACTGGAAGACTCCAATGTCTAACCTTCAACCTAGGAGTTGCGCAACGCTGCCTGAAGCCCACACCAGTGTCCAACGTCGCAGCAGGTCTCCGAGCCATCCGACTTCCGACTGACTCTCGGACTGGGATTTATGGAGGGGGGGGGGTTTAGGGTTTAGGGTTTTGGGTTCAGGGTTTAGGGTTTTGCTTATCTAGGTGCGAACCCTAACCTTTATGCGCCCTTCTCCGAAAGCATCGCAACAAAGGTCGAGCTTCCACGTTGGCACCCGGAGTGGCAAAGCGGCTCAACTCACGCCCACCGAAACGACCCCTAAACCCTAAACCCTAAACCCTAAACCCTAAACCCTAAACCCTAAACCCTAAACCCTAAACCCTACACCCTAAACCCTAAACCCTAAACCCTAAACCCTAAACCCTAAACCCTAAACCCTAAACCCTAAACCCTAAACCCTAACACCTAAACCCTAAACCCTAAACCCTAAACCCTAAACCCTAAACCCTAAACCCTAAACCCTAAACCCTAAACCCTAAACCCTAAACCCTAAACCCTAAACGGGTTTAGGGTTTAGGGTTTAGGGTTTAGGGTTTAGGGTTTAGGGTTTAGGGTTTAGGTAAACCCTAAGCCCTCAGAGCCCAGGAGCGCTCAGAGTTCTCCCGAAGCTCGCTCCTTGCAGGGTGGCACCCATGTGGTTTAGGGTTTAGGGTTTAGGGTGCAGGGGTCCTTTGGGGCTGAACAAACGAAATGCCGCTGGTGTGCCAAGGACAACGCACTTTCCCACGGTGCCGGCCAGGCCCCAACTTGCCAAAGGCCTGCCAAAAAACATGGGGTTTAGGGTTTTAGGGTTTTAGGCTTTAGGGTTTAGGGTTTAGGGTTTAGGGGTTGAGGGTTGAGGGTTGAGGGCTTGAAGGGTTTTGGGTTGAGGGTATAGGGTTTAGGGCTGCTGCGGTTTCGGTCATCTGGGGCTTTCGGGTTTCAGGGTCTCAAGGCTTCAGGGATTCCTGAGCTTTTGGCGATTGCGGGTCTCAGAATCTTAGTGCATCATGGCTTTTAGCGTTCTTGGACTTGGGGGCTTTGAGGGCTTTACGTCTTGGGGGTTTAGGGTTTAGGCTTTGAGGGTTTAGGGTTTAGGCTTTGAGGGTTTAGGGTTTAGGCTTTGAGGGTTTAGGGTTCAGGGTTTAGGCTTTGAGGGTTTAGCCTTTAGGTTTTGAGGGTGGAGGGGGTAGGGTTAAAGGTTCAGGGTTTCAGGGCTTAGGCGGCTGGGATCGTCCCTTACACCCCTACCACCGTAGCCCAAACACATTAAGTCACGAGCCCAGCAAGGCGCCAACCCTTCAAACACGTCAGTCAAGGAGAGTTTAGGGTTTAGGGTTTCGGGTTTACTTCAGGGTTTAGGGTTTAGGGGTTAGGGTCTAGCGCTTTAGACGCAGTGGACTTTCACACCCTCATCCCTAAACCCTAACTCCGAAGGCTGCCGGACCCCCAAAGGACACAAATCTGCTAGAGTCCCACAAGGCCCTCAAGTTCCCAAATCCTAAGCCCTTGAGTTGCCACCCCTACCCCTAGAGTCTTAGTTTTCAAGAAGGCAAGCATGTCCGAAGAACTGGCAAGTTACTTTGTTTAGGAATGCAAAGCTTCGCAACGTAAACACAGACCGCCCGAGACGTCAAGAAGAGAACAGACCAAAAGCCTGCAGCGAAGCCATAAAGCAAATCCTACGGATTAGGTTTTGAGGGTTTTAGGGTTTAGGGTTTAGGGTTTCGGGTTTAGGGTTTAGGGTTTAGGGTCTAGGGTTTCATAACCCCCCCCCCCCCCCCCCCGTGTGTGAGCAAAACCGGGTCTATTTAGAAGCTGGGGCTTGTGATTTATAATACAGGTCCATATACCTAAATGTAATAAACCTAGAAGAGCACGGCTTCTAAATAGACCCTACGGTCGGATTTCAAAAGGACGTTGGCAGAAATTAATAATTTTAATAATTTTAATAGTTTTAATAATTTTAAAATTTTTAATAATTTT